TTTTTAATCAAGTAGTACGCATAATATCAGTTATGCTGAAAATGTATATAAAGCAGGAAGTCTTATGCAAATCATGTCATTGCATACATTTAACTAAAATGACTTGACACATAATACCATATGTAAAAACTTAATGTTATCGGAATTTTGTCTTACACATGTATCCGTTAAATACATGTCAAAGATCTGTTAAGAGATAGTAAAGATACGCTGACATTTTCTGAATTCTACGAAAATGCAAGAACTTAATTTATATTGAATGCAATAAATGTTGTTACTCAAATATTTTGCCTTTTCAACGACAAAAACGATATCCTGGCTACAACTGTCAAACATTGAAAACATATTAGGAAGAATAACAATATGCCTCATATTGGACATTGCAATCAAACATGTAATTGTAGTGTTGTGTTACATGTTACCACTTCATTCATATGTCCAAGCCAAATGCTGCTTATTAAGTTTGTGTAATAAAGATGCAAGCCGACTTTTCAACATGATACATGTATGATATAAAAAGGTACAGCCAGAATTGTAAAAAATGCATTTCTGTGTATATCAACTTACAATACTATGTCAATTAATTGAAATATTGTATATTGACTTGAACATAAATATATTAAAAATATAGATTTTATTATAGTTTTACATGACATAACACTACATTGTATCTTTATCCCTATTTTAGCATAATGTCTTTTGGCAAATATAATGTTTGTGTGCTAAAAAAGGCTTCTGTGGCATTTTCAATTTACGCTACAAATGACCAAATATAACGTTAAATTAAACTAGGCAATAATTGTGATTTCATCTAGAAATGTTGTTGATATAAATGATATTTTGTACATTCCAAAGTAATAACATTACATGTCGAACATTAACATGTTATTTAAGGAAATGAACTTCCCCAATTATGTTGCTTCATCGATTTAACTATAAAATCAATGACAAACCCGATAATCCTGTAGGAAGGAAGACAGAAGTAAGAAAATATTTGTGCATAAATGACATTGAATCTGTCTAGAGTGCTGCCGATCAAAAGATTTTATGGAATTAATACTGAATTATCAACACTAATCTACTTAGGTGTTGAAAATTTGTTTTGAAATGTGTTAAAATAAAATTTTGGCGTCAAAATTTTTTTTTAATTTATTCTTATTTAGTTCTTTTACGACATGCCTAAAAACCCGTGTAGTTGCTTATAATCAAGTAAAATATTGGCAATAGAATCACTAAATAAAAGTAACTAGATCTCGGTAAGCCCTAAACATTAATATATCCTATTAAGGTCTGTCATTTAATAAAGGACAAAATTATAGGAACAAGGTAGGTCATTATGGGTTGTCATTAATATTTGATACCCCGCCCACATATCGTAGAGAGAGTGCAACACTGGAATCACTTTATCGCGCCCGTAGGTCGGTCCGATAGGGTCGGTTTGTTCCCATCGTGTCCGCTTTATAACTCCTTATACCCTATTTAAAGATTTTCGTGATGTCAAACTTAACAAGGCGATGTACAAAACTTAAGCTGCCGCTGTCCCTGTTAAAGGTTCATTTAACAATTTAACAGTTAAATGTAAAGGACTTTTGTTCCCTTTACCTTTATATTATTTTCTTCAAAGTTGGCTCAAATTTGTCACTTTAACAAGACGATGTTGCTCATTATCGCATTTACCCCTCGATGGAAGAAGTATCTACAAATCTGGCTCATCTCAACATGGCGATGTTCAGATTAAAGTCACTCTCAAAGGTAAATATATTCCACAACCCTTATTTTTTTTTCATTTCAACCTTTCCTAAAACCTCCACTCTAGTGCAGAAACGCACGCAATCCTTATGCGCGCTCAATGTCAGTGACACTTGAAGTCATACGTCTGACAATTATGTGCCCATACTATAAACTTTTCACTTCTTAATGGCTTCCTACAAATTAATGTTTAATGGTTCACCTTCAAATATAATGATAAATGAAGCAACATTAAATCCTGTATTATGTTTGTATTGGTCACCCTTGAGACAACTTAAGTAATAATTCCTTGTGCTTTTATCTTCAACCCATTCTACTCCATTATGACATAAAAGCAACGGCTCTTTTTCAAATTTCTAGTATCACATACTCCTTATCTACGATCCTGTGTACATGTAGTACATTGATAGATCCATCTACACCTTTCTCACACGCTTGATATTTTTTAAAACTTAAAATATTAACAATGCTTATTATATTGCATAATATTTAGGTAACACATTTGCAAGATTGTTTGATAGCGTAACTATTATATCAAGTGCTTATTTACATCAAACTTAAGATTATTACTAAATTTATAGAGATATCTATAAAAGATTATTGTAGTAATAAATAGGACTTATCTTTATTCCTAGAATACGATTCGTATCATAATTCATGGGTAAATGTAGTTTTATGTCATATCTTGCAAATTGTTTCGATACAGATTTTAACAATAAGGCAAATCTAAATGCAATCATGTTTATAGTATGACTTCCGCACATTCGTTTTATCAGATTTTTAAGGTAATGTCAGTTTCTGTAAGGGTCTTGTATTTTTCCCGGGAAAAAGAAATGTCATGAAAACTGCAAAGCATTGGATTTATTCTTTTTTACATCTGCTATAATTTAAGCTGGAGTATTTATAGGCACGGGAAATATCTTGTTTTATATAACCTGAAACAAAATCTGAAGGTTTAGCAAACAATCGTAATTCTTGAATTCCCTGCTGGACTGGAAAATCAAAAACAATGTCATGTTCTTCAGACTTCCCTGTTCATGTTTGGTCTGTCAGCCGGCTTGGCAAATGATCATTCTTTTCTCGTGATATTATATGTCTCTACGAGTTGTGATAATTTAGATACTTCACAATAATATACGAAAACATCTCACGTGTGCTTAACTGCTTTACTTTTGTTCAAATGACGTTTATTATTTTGGTAATCATACAAGACAGCGATTGTTTTCACTTTCCATAGATGCTAGCTGTGTTTGAGATTACATCAGTGGGAATTGCTGTGCGATATTTCAGCAAATATGTAAAACATGGCGATATTTGTTCTATTAATTATATTATATTTATACTATAATTTGAGACGCGTAACGACAAAACCAACACAGTGCGCATCCGCGCAGTCTGATCAGGATCCATGCTGTTCGCTATCAGTTTCTCTACTTGTTATAGAGTTGGTAAGCGAACAGCATGGATCCTGATCAGACTGCGCGGATGCGCAGGCTGGTCTGGATCCATGCTGGTCGCAAACCCATTATGTTGGTTTTGTCGTGACATGGCTCATTTTAAGTCAGAGTAAATGTGGTGAACTTCTTTTCGATGTTTTCATGTAATGCAAGATTATATTTATATAGTGAACAAACTTTTAAACATGATCAGTTCTATAACATATATAATTTATTTTTTTTCCCCAACGAAACCCTTATTTTCCGAAATTTTTCTTTTTTTTAATTAAATATTTTGGATCCGTTTTTAAAACTTAACCCTTTACTACACTTTTGTATGCAAACATGAAAAAATTCATTATTTACATAATATCGCTAAAAATGTTTGACATTTAGAAAAAAGGACACCAAACATTTTCCCTTTAGACACACACATTTTAAATTATTAAACCAATGCCCAATAAAACGGATAGTCAACTGAAACAAATTTAAAGAACTGGAGGGTCGTTATATTTAATACGAAACTAAAGATCATCATCCTAAGTATAAATATAGTTATATGAATGTTTTATATTTAGAAACAAGAAGTATCTTTAAAAAGATACTCGGCCGAAGTCAAACTTGTTAACTTGCATAGGATAAGCTACTACTAACCATGTTTACCGCAAACAGAACATTTTATTCGTCTTCAATAGTTTTATTTCAGGTCATTTTTACCCGCAATGTTTTTCCCCATTAATTGTCATCTTAGATTTAAACAATATTACTTACATTATTTGGTTTTAATCAAAATGGAATTTGATTTGAATAGGAATTTATAATAAAACAAAGATTTAGTAGATACTGTACACTTATTCCACGGAGAATTTTGCAAATGTAAATTAGTCGAAAGTTCGTTTCAATCGTCTTATGTCCGGTTCACTAGAACAGCTTAGAAGAATGCCCCCAATCGAAGGCAAAAGTATCAGTAAGGCGATCTGTCATATTTAATTTCATATATTTATTGAAAAGCTGTTAGAAACATCTAGAAAATATCATTAATGTGTTTTTTTATATTGACTTTTTTTCTGACTTATACGGGGCAGTCAAAGACCGGGCCCGCGAAGCGGGTCCGGGCTTTGGCTTGCCTGGCTATAGATTACACGTGTATATTTAAAAGAAAATCAAATAAAAAACAATAAAAAATATATAGAATTCTATACCTATCAATGAAATTTTCATTGTCAGTTCTAGTCGGGCGCCGCCATTTACAATGTAACTCAATGATAATAGGCGGGGTATTCCGATAACGGAACAGATCTCAACTTTTCGGATAAATGATAATCGTCGAGTAATCCGAGTGAAAACGGAAGCGGTGCATGTAATACCGAATTACACCTTTAAAACGGAAAGAATGAAAGGAATTTTTAACGACTTCCCCGTTCATAGGCTTTGCATAATTTCATATTATCTTTTTTCAAACACTTCTTGCCATCGCGCAATCGAAGAGACCTCTACCTATAATGGAAGCTCTTCTAAAGTATTAATCGAACGGGCTATTTGTGTTAAAATGACCAATGAAAATTCTGCATATATTCATTTCTTTACTGTTAATTTTAGCGGAAGTCAATGTAAAATCAGACGGCCTCCGGCCGAAATATTAGCAGTAAAAAATAGAAACGGACGGATTTAAAGTCTATTGTAAAGATTGCCACATATATCAGATCAAGTTTAACTGTATATTTACATGACAAAAAAATCAAAGCAGTTCATTAAATAATTCACATTTTTTGGAATTTGAATAAAAAATTAGAAAATGAAATAATAACGACTTACTTGGTCCAAGCAACGTGCCAAACATCTGGCACGTGTAACTGGAGATATATCTGTATTTACATCATCGCTTCCAGAATGCACGTGTTTAGCGTGTACAAATATAAGCAGAATAATGCACACATTAATTGTATAATCCTTCGACAACGTTTTCATTTTCCAATATATCACAAAATTAATATAGGTTTATCCACTACATATCACAAGCACAGATTTTACCCCTTACATATATATCTGTCCGTAAATCTTCATATTTGAACCATTAAATGAAAACACGTCACAGTTCAAACATCCGCCATCGAATATAACTATTTTTTTCACGTTGTTCCTCTGAGAGTCAATCATAAATATCCGACGGTTCTAAATCCAATAAATTGTTTTATTCACTGGAAAAATTTGTGTAGATGTCGTCTCGTCTAAGTTACCACACTGGAAACAATATAAACAGAAATACATCCCAAGCCCTTAACTGAACTGTATTGAATATGGCTTGAATATGGCTTCAGTTTATATAACTACATCACTATCCTGCAAACGGAAAAAAGAGAGCTTAATATCTATCTTTTTTTCAGTCTATATACCGGTAAAAAGATATCATAATTGCGTAAAAAAATATCAAAAACAACAAACATTTTACTCACAAAACACACAGGATATCATTACATATATACAAGTTCTGCACTAAATTTATGTTAAAAAATTATCATTGAACTTTTAAATTACGTTTATGACATGTGTGTTTCTTGTTTTAAATTCATACTTAATTGTAATATAATAATGTCCTCATTACCATAATATTATAAATGTAGACATGTCTGGGTGTAACTCTTAACCTGTTTGGACTTAAAGTCATTAGCATTTAACACCATTACATGACCAGGCTAGCAAGCAGTTTATTTTGCAGTCTGGCCATGTTCTATTCGTCGTAGCTGATTTGATATTGACCTCCTTTACACTATGCACCGACTATTCAAAGTTATAAGCAAGACAAATCCATTACAAAATTTAAGCAGGTTAACATACAGTTTTTTTCTAAACGTCCATCTTGTTATGATTAGATTCACTGTGACAATGTAGCTAAAACTTACTGAAATCTTTTTTTTTTATATCAAACATTTAGTTATATAGCAATCTTATTCAAGTATATCACATGTACACCCAGATAATTGTAAGACACTATTATAAATAATGTGTCATTTTATAAATTAATTGGCAACATTTATGCAAACATTTTGACTTGTCTAGAGCCTATGTCTTCCTTTTCTGAATAAATTTGCATAGTATAGGTGTATTTCCTTCGCTTAGATATCGTGTTGATGTCAAAACGTTAACTTTTACATTCTGTTCAAGTACTATTACGCGTAAAATAAGTACTTGGTAAGTAAGTATGAATATAAAATTATATTTCTTCTTGTACAGTTAGTTTAAGAAATACTGTATCCCAAGCAGTGATTATATCGATAGCCTAAATAAAATCACTGTTTGTCGTTCGGATGCGCTGCCTCCAAGCGGTGATTTTATCGCTAAATAAAATCACTGTTTGGATGCGAGAAATGATATCACGCTATGTAGCATATAATGCTGCGCATCCGAATGACAAACTGATTTTATTAAGCGATAAAATCACTGCTGGGGATCTATAATTTCGATTCTTACACAACATCAACAAAATGTTGTAATGCCTGATATCAAGCTAAATTATGCTTAATTTTTTTAGCGCTTCGTATTTTTTATGTAAACATGTAAACGTTACATGTCTAAATATAGGTCGTCAACAGTGGTTCTATTGCATATCTGCACGCACTTTTGTTCCTTCATGTTCAATAGGGAGAACTGAGTTTTAGTACTCGAGCCGGGGTGTTATCAGACCTCAATGAGTTCACATTTGGCTGATTTCAATAATTTGATTTGTAGATATTTCCGCTGATCAGCTAAGTTAACCATAAGTTTTCTTTTTTTCTGAATCAAGGTAGCTGCACAGATAAAAATATATTTTCATCTCATTATATGGTTATAATCAAGAAATAATACTAACAGGAATTTATAAAATGGAGTAAAAGTCTATCGAATTTCATTCTTCTGACCTTTCATATATTTCAGTAAAGTATATTTAATCTGTTATGTGATACCAGAGATCTTTATAAAGCAATTTACATTTTAATGGTAAATGGTTAAAAGAAAGTTGAATCTCTGATTCTACTTACCTATTTATAATTTTAAATCATGCTTTACCAACACCTTGCCCACAAAACACATTCCTAGAGAACATAGAGGATTTTGTTCTATCGACATTTGTACCTAATTAATTATTATTAGCATAATAAAAGATTAATGTTCCTTGTGATGAACTGTATCTATTTGAACACTTTGATTATCCCAATTTAATTAGTCAATATTTCCGACAGAACTTATTTATTTTGGTAAGTTTATTATCGTTTTCGTGTCAACTTGTATCCAGAGTAATCAATAACACTTCCATAAAATGTCATATTATTGTTAATAACAGAGGTATCTTGCATCCGTTTCAGATTTAATTAATAATATATATTTCATATAAACTTAAGATAAAATTCATACAGATGTCATGTCCTGCAACGACTTTTCTAATTAAATCTGAAACAGATATATTATATTAGACCAAAACTAACTGCCGGCTATATGATTCAAGTTATGTATGCTAACATAATGCCTTAAGACTTATTGGAATAACAATTAATACAATAGTACACATAGAATATAGTAGCACATACTTAACTTATAACTTTTTAAACGTTTGAATTATGCCATAAACCTTGAATACTAGGACTTTTGGACGGTGGTGTTGTTTTTTTGTTGTTGTTGTTTTGTTGCTGTTGTTGTTGTTGTTTTTTGTTGTTGTTGTTGTTTTGTGTTTTTTTTTTTTTTTTTTTTTTTGGGGGGGGGGTGCTATTGATAGTTAAATAATAACAACATTTCACATACATTTATATTTCAATATTTCTCTTTCTTTCACTATTTGTTGTTTAAAATTTACAATAACGATAAGGAATAAATTTGTTATATCTTAATTGTTATTTGGTATTCAAAATTTAAAAATAAAATCATGAGTAAATGAATTATATTATTGTTACGCATACATAATTGATGCAGCCTATAAATCAGTCAATATGAAAACATTATTTTGATTAACATGATACTCTGTCATTTGTAAACTTTCAAATACTTCAAATGATTATTGCGATGATAATTACAATCGTTAATAGTTTTCATGAGCCACAATAAATTATAGTTTCAAAACAACGTGCTGTACATTTCAACATTATGATAATTGTACTCGATATTTTGCTCACTCATACAGTTGTAAAAATGTTATCGTGTTATCGTTTTGCTGTGAATGAAATATAGATATGAGTCTTCCTAAAGGTGATACTGACTATTAAACTTTATAACACTAGTAATTGAAGCCTGAGATTAAAAGATACGATTACGATAAGATAGTTAAAGAGTTGTACTTTGAGACTTTTTTTCATTATTAAGTCCAAAATTGAATTCTGCTTGACAAGTGCAAAGCTGTCAAACTATATAAGCCGAGTCTGATATAGATCTTGCAGCTGTGTACGAGTCCAAAAGAACCAGTTTTGCAACCAACAATGTATAATCGCATCTTTATTTCATACCATCAGTTTTGTGACATTTCAATAGAACTGTGCCACTTGGAGAAAAATATGTATTTGATATGAGCTTTTTTACTCAAAAATGGCATTCAAGAAAAATATTTTTTAGAACAATACGAAGAATTTAGGAAAGAAAGGCTTTTAAGCTTCCTGCTTAATCCGTAAAGTTTATTTTACTATGTAAATGAAAACGAAAAAAAAGAAAAATATTGTTTTGACTAAACCTACATTTGTAAACGGATATAATAACGTCACATATCCTATTATTTCATTTCAAATGTCATGTTTTCACACCTGGTCTGATACGATGAAAGATTCATATTGACCTTTTCGAAAACCTAGCTTAACACCGCTTCCGGTACGTTACGGATTTAGCTCTGGGGAATTACACCAAATGAAGTACATTACACAGTTATGTGATATTTCTATTTTTCTATCATTATTTTACCGTTTAAGTTGAAAAAAATTGATGTTTTTGAAAATTATTAATATTTCTTTAATATCTTTTGCAAATTTTTCAAAAAAAATAAATTGTTTATAATGAAAATCAATAAAATTTAAACAGATGTAGCGTAATCTTCCATAATAAATAAGGTTATTTTCTGCGTAAACTTGTGTATTTACTTTATTTTTTGTATGGAATTATTCATACAATGATATTTAATTATTTTCTTATAAAGAAATAACTGTTTTAGTTCAATTTAAATATAAATGGCCGAAAACATCGAGTTCGCTATGACACTTCATTAGGTGAATTCCCCAGGGCTATGTACAGAAAGTACCGGAAAACGGCGTTTAGCTAGGTCTTCGAATTCGTGAATTACGTGAAGATATATACATGTGTTAGACATTTCGCATTTTCCCCCCATGAAATATGTAATCACATCAATCTGAAAGTTATAGATATTTTTCCTTAAAGCAAACCTTTTTCATGCGGATTTTTACGACAAACAGAAAAGTTCAAATAGGCTTTTAGGTCAAGAAATTCACCTTTCTGTCATATCAGCATAAATTTAAATATATGAAAATATGTCGCTTATCTTTTCTTTTACTCCAAAAATGTTAATATTTTTTGTATCTGTTTACATCAGTGACATTAATAATTCATGAAATAGGATTTTTATCTGTTATACATTTACACAGTGACACAGATTATCTCTTATGTTATTCTATGCTTTCTAAAAGATTTGACATTTGAGATTTACTTAACGCTATCGTAAGAAGGTTTTTATGAGATCATATTTTTCGTTTCATATATTTCGTTTTGTATATTCAAATAAATCATAGAATGACAGTAAACGAAAGACCTTTGAACGAAAAGTCAATAACTTTGCGAGCAACAGATCGTCTAATGACGATGGAAATTCATTTGTCCCAAGTTAAAGAAACACCCATGACAAAGCACCAACGATGGTCCGTAACTGAATGGTTTGGTGGCTACCATATCGTTCTTCCTTCTATTAGCCACATAAAAGATTTAAGATTTTAGTTGCATATTTAAACAACAATTAACTTCTTTTATTTAGCTTAATCATCAACAACTTGAACAGTATCTCGCACCATGTCAAGTTCCAATATAAATACACAATGGCTCTACTCTTATGAATAAAACATCCTTTTTTATATCGAATCAGAAAAATCTATATCTAATATATGATGTATTCAACTAGCCTCGTCTCTATTTAAACTAAAGTACAGTTTATCAAAGTATAATACTTATATTTCTAAACCATTATTATCTGCTACCGTAAAAAGTACAAGCACAAAACCGCTGGTTTTAATTCTAACTGTAATGTTAAGCTTAGAGTTCATCGCATTTCAAAAGTCAAAATTATCATCTTATTTTCTAGTTAACTCTAATCTTATAGGATTCAT